GAGTTGCCACATCGACCAAATGCATGTTTCAAAAATTTGTATTTTCTTTACTTTCAAAGCAAATAGAAATTACCTCAGTTTGTAATTATTATAATTTATTTTACTTTTTTCAAATGGCACTAATTTAATTTAATTGTTTATATTAAAATAGTTTATTGTTCTTTTTCGAAGACAGCGAATTTCATGCATAATTTAGACAAAATATCGTGTTGCCACTGTCAGTCAGAGTATTTGAAACATGAAAGTACATAAAACATTAACGTTAAAATAATATAACAGCACATCGTCAACGTTAGAATTTAGTGTTCAAATCTCAATGTTGCTGCTACTAAGCCAATCAATCACTAATTCTAGACGCACTTGGAAGTAATTTAATTTGAGTTATGCAAATTTTATCTAAAAATGTTTGCATGTATGTTTGTGTATATGCATGCGCTTAATATTTTATTTTATTTTTTTGAACCTTTCAACATTTTTTATTTTGCAAATTTATTCTACTAACTTTTAATTTCGCATAACAAGTTAAAGCATTGGTTTTTTTTTTTGTTTGTAATTTTGTAGCGTTTTTATGTGTACGTATGTATGTGAGAGGATTTTTGAAGTTTTTCTTAACGCTTAAAATTCTATTGTTGGTGCTTTGTTCTTACACTGAGAGCAATCGGATTACTCTTCGAAAAAACGATATTTTACAAAATTAATTATAATAAGAAAAGCTACAGTTAGTCACACCAATGAGTAAGTTTTTGAGTTGTGAGTTGAATGTAATTGCTGGAGTTGTAAAGTAGTTAGAAAGAAGTAATAAAAAAAAAATATATATATATATAATGAGTTCTATGAATGATGCTAAAAATGATAAAACTAGTCTTGGCCATTACGAGCACATCATCTTAATTATTTTAAAGAAATTTATTTAGGTAAAGATGCCCTTATGAATAACTGAGCAAACAGCAATGAAGCAGATCCTGGTGGTACATATGTACATAATGTGAAGGTTTCCCGCAAGACACTAACCACCACTGCGCACCTTTAAATGAACCCAACAAATGTCCCTATTTAGACCTGACACCGCCAAAACACCACGTTTCCTGGGCCTCGGTTAAAGCTGATGACAAAGATTGCAAGATTTGTTGATGTGAACCTCTTCGATCACAACGACAAAAATAACATCTGTCTGCCGCCAAAAATAACATCTATGCCTTAAAAGTATGTTCAGACAGGCCGCTAATCGAACAATTAGCTAATAGAGCTCGATTAACCATACAAAATTTCCGTTCTTAATTGCTCGATTAGTGCTTAATCGAGTGCTATTTGAATGGGGTTTTAATGCAACCCTGCTGGATATGTTTAGTATTGAATTTGAGATATGTTTAATGAACAAATATCAATCAGCTGTTTGTCTCTGCTCCTCTTCTACAGCTGATATTCCATCAGGGATGGAAATTGAGTTTTCAAATTATATCTCATAAAATATCAATTTATATTTATATATATATATATATATATATTAAAAATAAGAGTTCAACCATTCCCTGCGATACTATATCAACTTCAGGAATCTTATTAAACAAATTATGCTATGAAAAGAATATTTTCCGAGCAGTTCGTGACTAAACCGCGTGACGCTAATCGAGCAGCTGATTGTGTATGAACACCAAAGAGCGGTAGGTCAATCAAAAGAAGAATTGACTCAATTAAATTAATGTCTGAACTTAATATGAGGGCGGTTGGTGCTTAGAAATTTAACTTTGGCACAGTGTGTGTGCTTCACTACTTAAAAAGTGGTTATAATTATGGTTAATTGTAGTTATAATAACAAGGAGGGCTTTTTGTAAAAGTTTGCCTGCAGCTATTAGTTTTTATAATGTATAGAAATGCTCAATTCGCTTTAAAATTAATCAAACTTAAAATTTTTTTTTAAATGTGTGTTTGAAAATATGTATAGAACTTTTAAAACGCAAAAGTTAGTTCCCCTATACTGAATGATTAATCTATAAAACTGAAGCACCAAACTATTTTATCATACATTTTTTTTTTTGAAAAGATATTTTTTTGTAAAATTAAATTTCAATCCATTGGATAGTTTTAAGAGCGTAGGAAAATTAATTTCGAAATCACGAAAGAAATATTTTTGATTTGCTCTGCTACTTCTTTTCTGCTAAAGCTATGTTTTTTTTTTGTAATTTGAACAGTTGTTATACATATAACTTCATATATTTATGTATGTGTCAACATGTTTATTTATTAATTATAACAATATAAATACTATTTGATTTCACTATTAAATATATGTATGTAAATCACTAATAACTACAAACACCAATAATTCGAATACTTATTATTTTTATTTTATTGAATAATTGGAAGTAAAGAAAATGGGTTTTGTTTAAGATATGGAGGAAGGAGGAAAAGATGTAAGTATGTATGTTTCACAAAAACTGGCACAGCTTAATGAGGGCTTCGAGTATTTTGAAGCTTCATCAAGCTTTTTTCAATTTAGAGAACTATCGCTTTTAAGAAAGAGGTTTGTGATTCAAGCCTCGGCGAAAGTCCGGAAAATATCAAGAAAACAGGGCTTAAGGTCGTACGAGGGTGTATAAATAGGAAGCAATGTATGCATATTTTTAGTAGAAAAATGTAGAAAATATATGTAGGTATTAGTAGTTGCTTATAGGTGAATACTAGTAAGATAAAAAAATGTAAAAAGTAATTTTCAAAATAGCTGCGAATTGAAAGGTTTTTGTTTGGGTTACAAAACGACAGTCATAGTTTCTCTCCAAAAGTGGTAAGTAGTAGGAAATTATAAAAGCGCATATTCTTTTATCAGCAATAAAAGCTATATCGCTTACTTCCTTTTCTCTTATTTTTTTTTTTAAATATGTGTGAGAGTATTAATTTTTATTTTTTTGTTTAATTTCGTTTGATTTTAAACACACATGTTTGTAGGCATTTAACGTACATTTTTAGTTTGTTATTAGAGTTATAAAAGTACAAAAAGATAGAAGAGTCAGAGTTTGGAAAATGCTTTAACTACGCACAGAAATTCAAAGAAGTACATTTGATTAGTTAGTTTTTCGCAACAAAAAGACATTTTTTTTAAATACAAATTCTACGACTTTTTGGTGAAAAGAGAAAGCAAGATTTTAAGTAAGGTCTACGAAAATATGAATTGAGCATACTATATATGTGTCATGAGATGAAATAATCAATTACTTATTTAACACATTTATTTTTTAATTTAAATATTTAATTAAAACATCATAAAGTAAACAAATTTCTAATAAAAACTAAAATTTAATACAGTTACAGATAAGTAAACGTTTTAAAAACTACTGATGTGAAACTTTTTCTTTTATAATTTAATAAGAAAAAATTATTTTATAATTTTCAATTCCAAAATGTAAATAAAAATTCTATAATAAAAAATTTTAAAACTTTAAATGAAAAACAAAAACAATAATAAAAATAAAAATAAAAAATTTACGAAATTTTTAAATTTAAAATATTTTCCTATACAATTTTGTAAGTTTTTAAATTTTAAATATTTTTAATTAAATTTTCTTTGCTTTAAAGCCCTAGATTTAAGAATTTTAAAAATTGTAATTTAACTAAAATTTTAATATATAAATTAATTTACTTTGAACAAAGCTTTGAAATGAGTTTTAAATTTTTAAGTTTTTAAGTTTGAGTTTTTTTTAAAAAATTTATTTTTATGCGTTAGATTTTAAAACTTCAAAGCAAAAGTTTTTTAATTACTATCAAAATAAAAAAAAATGTTTAGAAACATAGAAATTTTACATGTGTTTGAAGTTTCTAAAGTTTTTTTTTTGAATTCAGATTTTAAATTTTTAAAACCTCAGACCTTAAAATTTAAAAATAAAAACTTGTTATATAAAAATTAAGTTCTTGAGAAAATGAATTAAAAAGGTTTTAAACAATTCATTTAAATATGTAAGTTTTTTATTATCTTTGTTTTGTTTATTATCTAAAATTTACTTAACATATGCGAATTTAAAAAGTGTTTATAAATCCTGTTTCTTTTTCTTGGCTTGGTTCAAAAATTAGATTGAATGAAAATTTTTAAACAAAGAACTAAACGAAGTTGGATACTTTATTTTTTTTTATTTTTAAATTTTGCAGATATTAAAACCTTAGATGTCACAAAAACAAAAAAATAAACTGAAGTCTTGAAATTAGGGACATATAAGTAAATTTAAGTAAATTTTAAAATTGAATCTAATTTTTTTAAATCAAATTACCCTAAATTTAAGATGAAACTTGAAAACAAAAAATTTAAATGAAGACATAAGATGAATTTAAAAATTAAATTTGTTAAATTAAAATTAAACTTAAAAAATTTTTCATTCCAAACTCTTACAGCCAATTTCTCGAAAGCAATTTAATTGAAGAATGATTTTAATTTTTTGAATGTAACTAAGTAAAATTTAAAATTTTAAGACAAATAATTTTAAACAAAATTTTTAAGTACCGAACCAAAGTATTTACTTTATAAAAATTATATGTAAGTGGGAAATTGCTATTTGCTTAAGAAGCTATTCTAAAAAATGAAAGCAACAACAATACAAAAGATTGAAAGGAAATTAGAAGTGTTTATTTGCGACTACTGATTCTTCAATTTCCTGCGTAGTTGCCTACTTGCTCGCTTTAAATTCTTTTTTAATACACGATTTTCTGAAATACTTTTTATTTCAATACTAGTTTTTCCTTGACAAAGAAGCTTTATTTGTTTCGGTAAAGAAGCTTTACACAAACAAAGCTACGCTTGGCTTTCACTTTTGCGCTTAAAAACTTTCTCACGTTCAGACATTTTAAGTCTTCCGTGACCTTACGTGCCGCCAGAGCTTTACTAAATTAAAGCTCTTCACTAAGGTGTGCATGCACGGACAAGGAAATTTCAGTGTATAGCCAACGTAAAAATACGCTCATAAAATAAATCTTAATTATTCTTGAGTTGCTATGGTATTTTGTTGAGGATTTTATACCGGAGTTTTGGGTAATTTCCGTCTGGTCGGCGATGCCGGTGATTTGTCTGTTGTTGTTTCAGGGTCTGTAGTTGTTGTTGTTGTTATTGTTACAAGTGAAGACGTTTAAGTGTTATTTGTTTGATTTTGTAGCGTATTTATTTGTGTTAAAATGAAATTAGTAATAAAACATAAAATTTATGTGGTAATTGTGTTTGTATATAAAAACGCAGATTGTTGATAAATAAAAGAAGAAAAAGAAAAAAGAGAAAAAATTTTGTTATAAACATTAAATTTTATAAAATTCGTATTTTTTAGTAAAATTTGTGCGCTTTTACTCCACGAATTGAGTGAAAGCTCAGATAAAAAAGCTCCTGGCTTATATATATATACATATATAAATTTGGCACTTTTGCAACTTACCCGCAATTAAGCCCAGTCCCACTGGACCGTCACCAGAACGTCGTGGACCACTTTGATTGCCGCTATTGCCCGGTGGTAGATTTTCATCGAATAGATCACACATGCGAAAGTCGGTGGCGTGTTCGACTAGCAGCTCGACTATGTCGCCAGTGCGATCCATAATGGAGCAGACTTCTTCGAAGCTGCGATCGATCAGCGACATGCCATTCCACTCGAGTATCTGTAAAAAAAAAAATGATCGGACGGTGGAAGAAACAGATGAAAAATATGCAAGAAATTTATATGCTGTTGGGAAAGTACTGATATGGTAGATATATAACATTTCAGTGAAAGCGACTATTTGTGAGTGCAGCTCAACTAGTCCTGACACATCATATCACCAAGAACCCCAAACTGTTTCGTTTTTGCCTCTAAAATAAGAGTCCGGGTTTCTTCAAAAAAAGCCGACAGCTCTATATGTACAATGGTGGAAAATAACAGCGCGACATTTTAGAAAAATTTTGCCTATTTTTCCTTTGTACATTGATTGCCGTTCTTCAAACAAATTTTTTCAGAACAAAATTTGTGTTTAAAACCTACATGAAAAAAACGGCGCTTAATATTTATTATTATTATTTTTTTTTTATGAAATTATAACTCAATATCTAACAAAAACCATATACATTTTTTGAAGTACACTTCAAACTTGGTGCAAAAATTATAAAAATTTTGCGAAATTGCATCGAAATTTTCAACTTTTTATTCAGATTTGTATTTTTTTTTATTCTAGTACAATAAAGTGAAAGTTGGAAGTTGTCGAAAAATTTTGTTATCTTTTGGCAATTTTTAACGTATTTTCTTCCATGAAAAGTATATACTTTTGTATGGGAAATAGTGCGTAATACAGTCAGAAAAAAATATAAAAAATTAACGCGGTTATACTAGAATTTAATGGGCCATAAAACTGCATACTCAAAACGTTTAAGAAAAATCTAAAATCGGAAAAAACAATAAATAAAAAATTATAATTAACATTACGCTCCCTTCGAAAGCTTTTATATGGTAAGCTTTAAGCTTCTTTTTGTTGTTAGATCGATTGGCATCAAAAACACTTCCACCGTAGTATTTTTAATCGTTGGAAATGGTGGAAGACAAAAGGTACACGATACACTGGAATTTCTTAAATGAAAAAATAAAGAACGTTTTTATGTTTTTTCTTTTTGTTTTTTAGTGGAAACTCTCATCTCGGGAGAGCCTTGTGAATTCATTCGAGGCAAGTAACTTTTCACGGCGGCCAGGTTCAGTGCAACTGTACTTTAAACGTATAAAGAAATGTAGCTTGAAAATCTTTGCGTAACTGTGTAAAAGTAGGCCTAACCACAACTGTAATTATTTCACAGCTGATTGAGTATTCTTTGAGCTTTCACAATAATAATGAACCATTAAGTAATTAGCTGCCAGAATATAAAATAGCAGCAACCTAAAAGTTGCTTTAACGTACCCATGAATCGGTTTAATGTCTTAGTTTTCCAAACTTAGTGTGCGCTGAGCATGAGTATAGAAACTTACCAGTAGATTGTGCATTTAAACTTTGATTTCATAAGCTTACTGCGAATTGCATACAAGCACTAATTGGCAAGCAAAATAGCAAACTTGCTAAAACTTTGGAGTATTGCATACCTTAGGGCGCTGTTCAAACGAGTACCGGTGCTTTGGTAGGCAAATAGTCAATGCATGCGATAGACAATCTCTGATTTTATGACTTCACTGAAAAATCCTAAAGCATGGTTTCCATTAAACAAACCGCATATTTCAGCAGCATTTATTATTTTATTTGGGCTTACGTAATATTTTCTACTTCAACCTTTCAATGAAGACGAATTGCATTGAGTGCATAACAGCATCGCTTCTTAGCTTCCAGTAAGCTACAAGTGGCACATAAATATCAATCAAGCTTTATTGTTATGCATAAAAAAAATGTAAGGCAATGAGCTCTGCAGCGCATGCAAGGACAACAACGCTTAGGAGTCAAGTTAGTGAGAGTATTATAAATGGGATCGTAAAGAATTATGACCACTTAAAATCCACTACTAAAAAAAGGAAATCCGCCAAGATACGATTTGAAGGGGAAGAGAATGAATGAATAAATAAAAAAAGGGATAGTTATGCGAAGAAGATTGAAAGCTTCAGAGCTTAAAAGCAGCTATGAGTAGTTTAGTAAAAATCAACAGATGTTGCAGGTTTTATGAGTGGATATGTTGCATGAAAAAAAACGCTTTTTTTGCTAGGTAAATGAAATGTTAAAAAACAATTTAAATACAAAAGAGCGATAAACTGGATAATTGTTGCCCCAAAGGCATCAAATAATTGCGTAAAAGTGGAAAGTAGAATACTCGTAAAATAAGAGTAATTTGTTGTGAAATTCAATTAACGTTTTTTATGCACTCCCCAGCCGGCAGTGAAAGGCGTTAATGACGTGACGATTTCATGTATATATCTATGTGGAAGATATGCAGGCGTAAAGTATTAAATTGCATGTCGTAGCACTGCCTAGCTACCTACCTGTGCATCGAGTGCAAAAAAGCATAAAAATTCCAAGCATAGCTACAGGCTTTTCTTGAAAATAAGATTATGCGCCGTTGTCTTTGGCGCTTCACTTTATATTTATAAACTGCCAATGTGTGTTGGTGACACAAACAAGTTAAATGAATTACCTTATCGCCTTGCTGTAGTCCATTCTTTTCCGCCGGTCCACCAGGCACCGTCCACACAATGTAGGCGAATAGGCGGCCATCCGCACCAGTTTTGCCTCCAACAACGCGCATGCCAAAGCCACGTGCTGTGAAAAAATAAAGCAAGAGGGAAGAAATTATGCATAGAACGCCTTTAAAGGATGGAAATTGTTATGCTGGTTCAAAGAGAATTGACGTCTAATAAAAATTGCTGTACTTTTTATGCGGGTTTCTTGAACATGTGATTTTCTTAGTAAAATGTAAAATTGGGTGTATCATCGTAAAAAGTGCTCGATTTTATTTTCAAATAACAAAAAAAAAAAAAAAATAGCGAAATTTGCATGGTACATTTTGAGTCGATAGGGTACTACTTTTATGTTTTAGTTATTGGAGCTTATTGTTGTTTTCGTACGAATCGAAAATCCTGAAATTTTCCTGTAATTTTTAAAACAAAAATTTTAAATTTTCGATTCGTACGAAAACAAAAATACGTCCCATTATCAAGAAATCAAATGATCTTTAGCTTTTAAAGTTTTTTGAGACTTTAATAACTTTTCGATATTTTTCTTCGGAACCTTATGGTTTTTCAGTAGCTTTTGGGAATTTTCCGAACATATTTGGGGCCCTGATGGTTTTTTGTGCGAATTTCTCTGGAATATGCGTATGGGTTTGCCTCGGTATTTTTCGAGACATTTCAGCAATCTTTGGGGAGTTTTAGATATTTTTTCCGGCAGTTTTTCAAAACTGTTTGGAACTTTCTTAATATTTTTTGGTATTTTCTCGAAAATTTATTCAAGACGTTTTAGAGGTTTTAGAAAACATTTAGGATACTTCGTGATATTACAGATTTTTTACGGGTTCGATTTGGGGTGCTTGGACATTTTTCGTAACTTTTTTGTTTTACTCCGGATTTTCTAAAGACTTCGGGGGTGTTCAGGTCCTGTTGATTATTAATTTTTTTTTTATAGCTCTTATAAAGGTTTGAAAAAATTAAAAAGCGGGATTTTTCGGGAACATGTAACACTTCTTTGGTATTTTTCGAAATTTTTCTGTATGCTTTAAGTATTTTAGGATATCATTTCGATTTTTTTTGGAACGGCGTAAGAGTTTTCTGTATATTGCGAAATTTTTCCCCACGTTATATTTTTGGGCACATTTCGCGTTTTTCCAAATATTTTGTTTTTGAGACCTTTTGGAACTTTTTGTTACTTTCTGCTTTATTGTAGTTTATCGAGGCTTCTCGGGAGTTTTCAGATGTTCCTATAAATTCTAATGTGCTTCTTAGATAAATATAAAATCTTTATTTTTTGGTGCCTTTTTAGATTTTTGTGCTCTCTTTAAGGTATCTCGATATTTTTCGAGACATTTTATGATTTTACGGGAAATTTACTCAGAAAATTTTTGGAATTTTTCTCGAGATTTGTTTAAATCTTTTTCCGTATTTCTTTGGGGTTTTTCAAGTTCTATGTTTTTCGGGACATTTCTGGAACTATAGGGATTTTTCCTTAAGTTCGTGCTTCATTCTGGATTTTCGAGTTGTTTTTGGAAGTTTTCGGCTTCAACTCATAATTTCAATTAAACTTTGCTTCTTATAAACGCCCTAAATACAAACATAAAAATCCAAACTTAGGGATTATTTTCTGCTGCAAAAATATCGGAAAAATGTTGTCTTTTATTTCTGATCTGAAAAAGGTAAGGTAAAATTTTCCGCCTGCCTTTTTTTTAATATTCATTACGGAATTCATGCCCAAAATCATTTTATCTTTCCGACGATGCCATAACCCATAATATTTCTTCAACTGAGGTTACGTATACGCAGCGTACGCCTATGTATACCTAACTACACATTATCAAACCTACTCTTTCTCTCATCCTTAGGTATGTATTTCCGCTTCGTTTCAACCAATTTTTTTTTGCCCACCACAACAAATTTGTCAATTTCAATCCTGATTAACTAACAGTCTGTGTTAATCGTGTCATCTCGTTCACCCCAAAAATCAATTGGAGCGGCGTGCTTGACGACCAACAAAAAGGCTTATGTCAGCATTCGAGAGCAGTAGTTTGAGTTGTGACTAGCCAATTTCAATTTGTCTATTTACTTGTGTGCTCTTTTTATATTCGTCGTTCGATTATTTGAGCTATTTGCTATGACTTCTGCTTTGAGCCTTGTGGGTTTTCCTTTCTCCCCTTATCTATGAAATTCGTTTGGAGTTATTCGCTTTTCATTGCTTGCTTCATCGCGGTCAATCCTCATCGATTACATTCGTATGCTTACAGACATTTTGTTGGACTTTAATTCGTCTTTTATAACTTGTCATTTGCGTTTTTTTCGCCATTTGCAAAAACGAATCAAAATGAATTTTATTTGACTTGTATGTACACTTTTTATAGAGGGTTTTNGCATTCGAGAGCAGTAGTTTGAGTTGTGACTAGCCAATTTCAATTTGTCTATTTACTTGTGTGCTCTTTTTATATTCGTCGTTCGATTATTTGAGCTATTTGCTATGACTTCTGCTTTGAGCCTTGTGGGTTTTCCTTTCTCCCCTTATCTATGAAATTCGTTTGGAGTTATTCGCTTTTCATTGCTTGCTTCATCGCGGTCAATCCTCATCGATTATATTCGTATGCTTACAGACATTTTGTTGGACTTTAATTCGTCTTTTATAACTTGTCATTTGCGTTTTTTTCGCCATTTGCAAAAACGAATCAAAATGAATTTTATTTGACTTGTATGTACACTTTTTATAGAGGTTTTTCTTTCATTCGTTCATTGGTTGGAAGTGCATAAACAAGATGCTGGTAATTTGTTTTCCGAGCACGAATTGTATGAAAGGAAATTAGAATTCTATTTGTGTGTATGAGTTGTTTTGTTGGGGAATAGGATGAAGCGCATTGAATGAAAGTACTATTTGTTGATTTGATTTTGAGTAAATTTTATTTGCTCGAATGTTTTATTTTTTGTATTTTCGACTTTAAATTCGTCTGACCTCAAATTCACTTAATGTCTTTATGTGCTTAATACAGTTGGACACAAAGCAATTAATGTCTTATTCAACTGGGTTTTAAACTTAGACACACATTTTACCTGACAGTATGGAACATGAGTAGGCTAATTTTTTTTTTGTTACTTTAATAGCTACTTGCGAGCATTTTTTAAACCTTTTTTTTGCCCGCGGCTCTGCCCGCATGATATGGTATTTAACATTATGCTATCAAATGCTACACTTGCACATCAATTTGCTGTACTAAATGCTATACAAATTTTATCATAGACCAATAACTAAATCAACAGTTGCTGTATGAAGAGCAAATTGTCATTCTTAAAAAGCTTTTATTTGCTAGAATATATTTTTTAGTTTCATATCAATGCCGTATTGTTAAACTTATTTGAAATTTGTGTAAATCATAAACATTTCAGAACTGTGGCAACTCTTTTTCTATTCAGACCGTGAGTACACATCTGTGCATCTTAAATAATTGCAATTTGTAACAAGTAGCGAATATTTCCGGTCACTTCTGGTTATTGTGTTACTCCTTATGAACTTGTGAGCTCAAAAGGTATCAAAAAAATATTAAAAAATATAAAATAAATATAGAAATATAAACATAATTTTTTATTAATGCCATAAAATTAAAATTTGAATTTTAAAACAGGTAGCAACCCTTTCCGCAATTGTTTGGAGCAAATATTTTCTCAACCTTCTTTCATTTAACACCCGCATTGTAATGTCTCTTCTAAACACTCACTAAATTCAACTGAAATTTTTAAACGGGTGGTAGCTTTCTTCAAAAATACTCGTACACAAACCTCCCTCCTGAAAAGTATTTTAGAGATAAAGCTTTCTTAAACCTCTCTTCAACCATTTTAATATATTTCACTTAGCTTCCATGTTAAATTGATCTTGAATTACTAAACAGGTGGCAACACTGTTCAAAAATATTTTAGAAATATAGCTTAATTTAACCTTCATTGCTTGATAAGCATACTATATTATTTTATTAAACTTACCTATTAAATTAACTAGTAAACGGGTGGCAACCCTGTTCAAAAATATTTAAGAATTAAATCTTTACGTAACCTCTATTGTATGATACTCATATTAAATTATTTTTTTAATCTTGCCGATTTGATTATGTGAATTAATAAACGCGTGGCAACCTTTTCCAAAACAATTTTCGAAATAAAGCTTTATATAACCTCTATTGCTTGATACCCATAAATATTTTATTATTACTTAATTATTTTAAACTTTTTGAACAGGTGGCAACCTTCTTAAAAATATGTTCCAAATGATAGTTTTTGAACCTCTTTCATTTTACACACACAATCTTGTAACATTACCTTTAACTTTTTAATTAATTGATTTAACTTTTGAAAAAAAGTGGCAACTCTATTCAAATAAATGACTATTTTAGGTATATGTTTCCACAGAAACCGGTGGCGATATATAAAATTTGAGCCTTGCTTCCGAAACACTTTCTTTATTTTAGCTTTACAATTACTTTTCCCAATAAAATTATTCGTAGAATACTCGAAAGAAAGTTTTTCTTATATAAGATTTCTTTATATAATTCTTTTAATATTTCATTTTAGTTAAGTACTCACATAGATTGCACAATATTTTTTAATATTCCTAAGCTACAAACTTTTCCAAGGTTCATCATAAAATATCTTCTCCTCTCTTTTTTTCTGCCACTTAACAGCTCTCTTATTCTCCTCTCGATTCCCAGAAATTTGCTTAATTTCCCTTTTACGACTTGCAGCTTAACAGTCCCACCAGCTGTCATTCATCAAAAACATTTAAGCATTTTGTATTTAGTATCCACCAGACCTGAGTGGCAGGCACAGGTAGAAACGATAATCGTGCAGCGCACAACAAACGAAACAAAAAGACAATATGGCCAAGCAGCAGCAGCAGCAGCGGAAGTAAAACCATTAGTGCGCTTTGCTTCACAAAAATAACGCTTCAGCATTTTCCACAAAAAGTCTTCCAAAGTTAAAATGTGCAAGTTTTTGGCAACGAAAACGGTCTCCACTGCCCCAGAGTGGCCTTAGCTGTAAGCTTACGATGCTTACGTGAGCGAGACAGCGCTAAGCGCTATTCCTCCGCGGCTTGCATTACCTGAAAATACCCGCAAAACGGCTGGCGTTCGCAAACGCTTGGGGAGACGCCAGCACGTGAGGGGACTTGAACTGAACTGAAGTGCAGTGAAGAGTGCCTCGCGCGCGTTGGTCTCGCTTGAAGAAGTTCTTTTTTTGTCGTGCGGCTCTTGCCCCACCTTTCGACTTGTGCTGTTGACATTGCCATTTGTTGCGTTGCCCTTTTCGCTGGCATTATTGTTTCGCATTGTTTTAGTTGCTTTTCTTACTGCCGCTTTGAAATCGAGTAGAGTACTTACTTTCTTGCCAAATGCAACCGTCGTGTTTTTTGTGTTTGCTTCTGTTCTTCTAAAGTTACTAAATGTTTCACTGCTTCTCGCGCCACTGGCAACACAAGCAACTAAGGTAAGAGGAATGGTATCAGTTGCTTCGAGCCCGTGCGAATGCCAAATGCACTTTCTTGAAATAGTAGTTACAAATTAATTAATTAAATCTCGTATTAGTTAGGTAACTGTTGTGGAGAATGGGAGATGAAATTCACGGTAAATCATTGCAAAATAGATTTATATAATTTTTGACTGGAAAATGTGTCTTCAAAATAAACATTCTAAGGCTACTGACAGCTTTAGATTCACACGTAAAGAGTGTAAAGTTCCTTTTTGAATAACGCAGATCTCTCTACGAATATGAGTTTCTGGACTCCGAGATTTCTAGGAGATTGCAAAGCTGACGG